AAAATTATGACACCTGGCACCTCATGCCAAATAAGTGCAGCCTCTTGACAACTAGATAGCTCGAGCTAGCTACAGGCAGCTCGCCACCTACACGAAACTCACCACTTATAGGTAGCTCAACATAAGCAGCTTGCCACTTATAGGTAGTTCGCCACCTACAGGAAGCTTGCCACTTCCAGGCAGCTCGACATAAGCAGCTCGTCATAGGCAACTCACCACTTATAGGCAGATTGCCACAGGCAGCCTGGCATCTTACGGACAGCTCACCTCCTAGTAGGCCACCTCGAAGACTTGCCTTGGGTAGAAGCACCTCGGCACATTACCAGCAGCTCAGGGAAAAGTAGCTCAGTTCAAGGTAGCTCGTTGCAGAGCAGCTTTGCATATCACATGAAGATTTCCTACCTGACAACTGTTCCTGCTAAATCTGGAGACTTGCGCCCACGTCTCTCGCCAAGCAGCATCATGCCTACCAGCCCTGAGAGGTGTCCCTTGTCTGGTAAGGCCGTACTCTGCAACGGTTACCTGCGCCCACCAGCTCAGCCCTGGCACGTAACGGCTGTGGTAGAGAATTAGAGGTGGTTACACCAGATCTGTCAGGACACCGCTATATAAGAGCTTCGACCCCCTAGAGGGGAGGGGGGATGAAAATGGAGGTAACCCCTGTTCTCTAGCTCTCTCATTTCTCTAATATCATCTTCAAGCTCTCTACTATCGGAGTGCTAACTTAGTCATTGGAGTGGCCCTGTCGGGTAAACACCCCCGGGTCCTCTGATTCAGTTCTCGCAGGTTCCTCGACTCCCACTGTCTACAAAGAGGAGCAAATCACCTCATGCAGAGGGCAGTCGAGTTGCACTTCACTAGGGAGCTCGCCTCCAAGGCAGCGCACCCAGAAGCTCATCAAGGTAGCTCGCCACCAAGTAGCTCACCACCAGGGAGTTCGCCACCAAGTAGCTCACCACCAGGCAGTTTGCCACCAGGGAGCTCAATCATCCTCTGAGTCACAAGCCACCTAGGAGCAGGTTAAATTACAAGGTACTTAGGCAAAAAATTGATACATCACGAAAAAATTGGTATGTGACCAGAACCGGTTACATCGATATCTATGATGAAAAAAAAACATGCAAAATACCATGATATGTCATTATGCAATCAGATAACCCATTATATGCCAAGGAATTAGCAAAATGTCATGATATGTCATGCCATAATTTTTAAACTACTAAAAAGTGTGATATGTCTCGATGCAACCAGAAATCCACTTTATGTCAGGAAATTATCAAAATGTCATGATATGCCATGATGCAATTTTTAAACTTCTAAAAAGCACAATATGCCACGATGTAGTCGAAAATCCGCTTTATGCTAGGAAACAAGTAAAAACACATGATATGCCATGGTGCAATCAGATAACCCACTATATGCCAGGAAACAAATAGAAATTCGTAATTCTATAAAGTGGGGATTTTCCCAAACTTAGAATCAAATATAAAATAACCACCTCTTACTAGGAAATCAATAGCCATAACGTTTCAAACCTCAAAGTTATAGACTGGATATGCATTGATTTCTAATCAAAGATCGTCATCAAGAAATACCATCAAAAGTGGGGGTTGCCTCATTTTCGATCAATTAAGAAGGATAATTCACAAAGGAGATACTTGCTCAATTTTGCACAAAAAGGATTATGACACTTCAAAATGGTTGTTGATTGCAAGTCTCAAAAGAGGGATGAAGCTCAATTTTCTCAAATTGGGTTGATTGGTACTCTTACAACACTTCAAATGAACAATCCTTCACATTCTTTGGTGTTCCACTTTTCAATGAGGAGATTCTTCTTTGGACTATTTTGCTCATGGTTATAGGGGATCACTAGGCTCAATCATTTTCTTTTTCCTCTTTTTTATTCTTCTTTTCTTCTTTCTCCTTTTTTTTTGTCAATTCCTTCCTTGCTAGCCCTCTTAGGTTTGTCCAATGCCAAATGTCGATTTCTCAAGTATCGAAGAGGACCTCTGATTAGGATGAAACATGGCCTATGATAAGGGTTCTAAAAACAAGGGGTAAAGGCTTAATAAACTTAAACTATAATGGGTATTAGATGCCTGAATTGAGATTTCTAGGGCCTTACTCATGATTATTGGTCTGTCCAGAAGCGTGTCGTTAAACACTCCGGAACACCAGTTTAAACATTCATAATTTTTTCATTTCTCACAGCAACTATAGACGTAGTAAATGGTGAGAATGGGTCATATCCATAGGGAAGCGAGGGAAAAATTATTACAAACCTTAATTCGAGTAAAAAAAATGCAAAGGGAAATTGCAAAATCACAAAACTTTCATTAATTAAATTGGTATTAAATAAAAATGGAGTTCAAACACTACTGAAACTAAAATAAATAACAATAGAAATTAAAAAGAAATTTGCAATTTGATCAGAGGTAGCAATCTCTGGATCTCGCCATTAACCCTCAAACTTCTCGAGCTAAGCCTTCCATCTTATTTGACCGAATTTCAGATCTATAGAAAAGAAATAAAGTACAAATTAAATCTAATAAAAGTAAAATTTGTAGGAAGGAAAAATAAATTGAAAATTAAAGAACATAAATTAATTCTAAAACTGAAGAAAAAATGGTTGGAATTCAAATCCATATGTAGCAGTAGTGGTATTGGCGAACTACCAGTAGGAACCCCTCCTCTTACATGGGCGTCCTCTTCTTCCTTTACCCTTGAACTTCTCAAGATCAACCTTCCTTCTTACCTGGGTGAATTGACCAACCCCTTCTACAGGGCCCTTGGGACCCTTTTATAGAGAAGGGTGGACGCAACTAGAAATAGGGAAAAAGATAGGGGCGGCAATTGGGATTTAGCAAAGTTAGGGAAACCTTAGGGTTTCTAATGGATGGCTAAGATGGTTTTGGGGTGATCCTATGGATGAGAATGGAAGGAGAGGGCGCCCAATATTATGTAGGGCTGAAATTTGGGCGCCCAGAAATGGAGGGTGTAGATTAGAACATTTAGGGTTGAAGGGTTAAGATTAAAAGAATAGGTGGCGCCCTAGATTGAATGGTTGGAATATAAGATGGAGGGAGTGGTTGAGATTTAATGGTGGGAGAGCCGAATGGTGAAGATTAGCAAAATAGGTGGCACCCTAGGGTTTAAAAGCTACAAAGGAGAGCCCTAAAATGGATGGTGGAGATTACACAGCTGGGGCAGCTAGGGTTAGCCAAGGAGGAAAAGAATGGGTTGAAAAGGCTCCCTAGGGTTTGCTAAGGAATGGGGAGCATGGTCATACAGTAGGATGGGCGCCAATTGAGTTTAGCAGAAAGGAAGCGCCCTCTTGTTCTTAATTATTTACAAAAACACCCCATCTTTCAGCTGGTCTTTATACCAACTTCCCAAAAATTACACTTCATCAATGAAAACTTCTCAGTTTTCTACATAATTTTCACAGAGACCCTCAGAGGTTACATAATTTATTTTAACTAGAAAAATGGTGCACTTTGACTAATCTAAGGCCAAAAATACCCCTGAATTGATGCCCTTAAGGCATCAAAATGCAGGGTTATCAATTATGCTCGTATATTCTTATCATTCTCCCATTAAATACTCTCATAATCACAAATGAAACACAGTGTTCTTCATGTATTTAAATACTACAGGTCATGACGAAATGTAAATGTGTAAGGTTAAAATAAACCGAGAATGGATGCTATTACGGACTAATATCTTATCGATTTGATTATCACATCTACCCCAGTTTATCCTTGCAACATCCTTTCTTTTTTTTTGCTTCTTTCCCTTTTTTTTCATTTGCAGCCATTAGGTACCCCAGTTTATCCTCGAAACATCCTTTCTTTTTTTTTGGCTTCTTTCCTTTTTTCTCATTTTCTTTTTTTTTCTATTAAAATTTGCACACTTGCCTCAAATTTTCATTTCATTTTTCTTCTTTTTTTTTGTCTTTCTCAAAAACTTGTTGAGATTTGCACACATAATTGAGCATATGACATCCACCTCCTAGGAGGGTTTATTTGAAGGAATAGTTCTTATAAAGGCTCAAAGGGATAATTAAAGAAATGAATAATAAAGAGGGTTTGACGAAAATGGACAAAGCAATCGGCCAAAAGAGAGCCTCCAATCATTTCTCCATTAAATGCATAATCCACAGGAAAGAACTACATGTTGAGCACAATTTGAGTTTCACTGACTCATGGGTATTTATGTCATTTGACATCCTTAAGGCTGGAATGTTTTGAGATTAATCAAATGAGTGATTTTTTCCCAATTTTTTCTTTCTTTTTCTATTTCCCTTTTTCTTTTTTAAAATTTTTTTGTTCTCTTTTTCTCTCTCTTTTTTTCTTTTTTTTTTTATTTTTTAGCCCTTGGAAAGAAGCATCTTGGGAATTTGTTTGGTTTAACAATAAAAAGGTCCAATAAAATTAATTCAATGGGCTAACTAGTGATATTATCAATGGTCCAGACATCTAGGGAACAAAAGGTTGATAATGGCCTCTAGTCCTTTCCTAGATTCATGAGCAAAGAACCAGGTAAAATTTGACGCTTATCCTCTATGCTAACTTAAAGAAACAAATAAAAATGAGTGCATACCCATTGCAATGATTTCAACCTAGAGGCTTATTTTAATTTCACGATCAAAAGAGAAGCGATCTCCTGGAAAACTTTCAAAGGAAGCGGCAACTCTGTCTCCCGGGCAATCCCCTTTCTTATTAAAACTTATTACTTTTATATCAAATTGAGAAAAARGAACATCTAAGCAACACTCAAAGCATCAAACCAAGGAAATTGAACTTATTATGCAAATAGCAGAATGAAAGTAATCACGTGGTGTTATGTAGGATAAGGTGTCTTTTCGTACAGAAAATAGAATCTAACGTCAGAGCAACCCAGATCGGTTGAGAGCAGTTGGAAAGCATGTACTGATGCACTGAAAGTCAGTACGTGGCATGTCATTTCCCTTTTCGCTTGAGCGCAGTTCCCTTCTTTGTTTTCCTGTGGGTGCGGCTGATTCATTGAATTTGAATCCATTTCCTGTGGGCCTTGATGGCGAACGAGGCATGACGCTCCTTCCAGAAGGTTATGGCTATGGAGATGATCACTCCCAACAGATCCATCGCTGCAATTCTCTTGGTGTTGCAGCATGAGAATTTCAGGTCTGAAAACCAGAAGAGCAAGCGGACTTCCCTTCTAAAACTTACAGCATGGTTCAGAGACCCTCTTGATAATTATAAGCGCTACACAGGGGGATGGAATATCAGCGAACGACATTTCTGAGCTGTGAGTTTTCTGAATTTTGACCAATCTCATCTTGGTCGTTCTTGTTTTTTATGAACTTTGATTTTTTCACTATCCTTGATCATTTTTGTCCACTGGTGTTGGCTTTTTTTTATTTGGGAGGAGGGGGTTGACTTGCCGTTATTTGTTCATGGTTTTTCTTGTTTCTAATGGGTTCTGAAATTTCAGGCCCTAAATTTTTGGGCGTTCGTTGGTTTTACTTAATTTTATTTTTGACAAGTTTTAGTTGTTTCTGAATGTTTTTCCACTTTTCCTAGGCTAAAATTTGTCTCTAACACAGTCTGTAGGTTTTTCCGCTGCTCCCCTGTTTCTCATTGCTGCAATATGGTTCCTAGGCTTTGGGCTTTGCTTGCTGCTCATCTGCCTTTGTTACTGCCGTTGCCTACGACGACGTTATGGTTATTCCCGAGCAGCATATGCTTGTTCATTAATTTTTCTCGTACTCTTCACCATTGCTGCAATGTAAGTTTGTTCGCTTTCAGTTATTTCTTCTTGGTTTTATGCTTGTTTTAATTGATCCAATGTGACATCATAAATACCACTTTCCATGGTTTCATACTCTTCTTGGTTTCGTACACTAGCCAGGGAAAGTTCCACAGTAGTACAACAAACACCCTAGCTTATGTTGTGAAGCAGGCAAATACCACGGCAGAAAACCTTAGGAATGTATTAGACTATCTTGTTGCTGCTAAGCTGATTGGTGTGGACCAGGTTTTTCTACCTTCTGATATGATGGCTAAGATTGATGAGGTTCAAACAAAGATAAATTCTTCTGCTGCAACTCTTGCTGATGAGACAGTGAAGAACTCAGACAGTACACAGGAAGTCTTAGACAATATGTAAGAAAATGCTTTTAGATCTATCTTTTTGTAAGTCTATTACTCTCCTTGATTATTCTGAACTATGCGGCAAGTTTCAGATTGTATGCTTTTCATTTCATTTTTTCTACTGTACCGATACAAGATGCACTACGATTGTCAATCGGCTGTGTATCGGTACCATATCAGCGTGTATCACATAGTATCAGTTAATATGTGTAATAAAATAATTTTTATTAAATTTACTATTTACATGTAAATAAAAAACAACGTACATTTATTTTCAAAAACATCAACTATAAATTAAAAAGAACAATATTCAAAATTAGTATCTTATAAATCAATAGAATAAATAATTTATAAAATCCATATATATATATATATATATATATATATATATATATATATATCAAAAATGAATTTTAATTTCAAAATTTTATACAAATAAAACATTCATAGTAGAATAATTATTTTAATACTTAAATTTTATAAATTTGCATATGGTATATATATCTTAAATTTTTATAAATTATTAATTAATATTTTAATTTATATTAAATAACAATGTATTTATTATTTACAAAAATAAAAGTATTGTTTACAAAGTATTTGAAAATATAATATAAATTGAATATATCAGTCATTAATCTACATTTTATATAAAAAATAATTTTTAACTTTGAAATTTTATARAAATAAAATATTAATAATGGAATAATTATTTTAGTAATTAAACTTAATGCTATTAAAATATATATGGAATTTGTGTACATTTTCTTAGTGAATCCAAGCATTTCCATTTTAGTAATTAAACTTAATGCTATTAAAATACGATACTGATACTTTAATCCTTGGGTAAAAAGGGTTGGCTGGGACAAGCAGGTGGAGACAATGTTGGTTCCGAGCCGAAGAGAGTGTGAAGAGGTAGTGAGTGAAGAATTCCAAAAGTCCCTTACTTCTAGTGGAAATGCCTATTTATAATTGAATATCTGTGTTCTAGTCGAATAGGACTTCCGAGGTTATCGGGATAAGGTTGTTTGCCGAGTTATTTTGGGAGTTCCCTTCTTCCCTTGCGGAGTCCACTTCCTTGTCGTATAGGACACTCCTTGGTCATCCTCTTCCGTTAAGCGGATGATGCTGATACAACCCGAAGAAGGTGGCCACAAAATCTGCCATGTGGCACTTTTAGGCCAGGTCAACAATCCCCAAACAATAGGAATCCCAGGAACTGCATGATGAAATCTTTTAGCAAGACACAGGATTGTTGACGTGAATCAAAGAACTTGAGAATCAGCCTACCATCAGAAGGGCTGTTGAGTCTTTCACCCTCATTTTGTCGCTAACTATTATTTATCATCTGGGTATACATATTTTGGATCCCTTGACTTTGTGTTCTGCTGATTTTTTTTCCTCAATGTTATAGATTGAGAGTGCATATAGAGTATTGGAAAGAATTGTTAGAATCTAAGTTTCTATATGTGGAAACACTTGAACTGTCACGATTGATTCTTTAACATAATCGATGTGTTTCTCAGTATTAACCTTTTTTTTTATCTTAGAAATGGTAAATTGACCGTCCCATGGGGCTAGACCCCAAGTCCACTCCTCCAAAGTTTCAAAAGCCAAGATAGAAACGGAATCATTTTGGTTACTGGTTTCCGGACGGTTTGACCGTCTGGATCGAACAGTTCAGACAATTTAATCTGTTATTGGATACCAATCATAATGGTGAGATATTGGATATCAATCTCATCAAGGATCACGAGATTAATAGATTACCCCCCACATCGGAAGGAATCCTGATTAGTTGAATGCTTTAGCCATGTGGCGAGCTGTGGAACCAATGGTGATGCTTATAGGATTCACAGTGAGAGATTGAATATTTATGGATCCCATCCCATGTATTTTATAACTAGTGTGGAGAATTATTATTGGTTCCACAGTTTGATGAACAGTTAAACCTAACTCAGAAGAAAAATATTTCTAATKYGTAGCTGTGGTGTCATGTGACTTTGACACATCATCAACATATAATATAACTATACTCCACATGTAATTTATTGCAGTTTTAATTTTTATAAACAAAAAAAAATAATTAAAATTTGAGACCAAAAATAATAAGAGCAACCAAACATATAAAGTTAAAGCCTTTAGAAGTTTTCATTCATTTTATTGTATAACCTGTGACCGGTCAAATGGATCAATGGTTTTCAAAGAATTTATAGGTTTTATGAAAATCAGACCTTAAAAAGAAACCGAATAATGGTTCGAAGGTTCAAATGTTTGGGTCCATAACAGATTGAAAACATTGAGTCATTGAGCTTTAGCTGTAAAGGTGGATCGAACGGTAATAGTGTGTCGAAAGGTAGATGAAAATTATAGGTAAAGTAGTTTACGGGTGGGGGATATTATTTCATTCATTTTTCTTTTTTTTTTTTTTTTGTTGTTATGGGCGGGGTATTCTAAGCCCAAGTTTTTTCAATGACGAACCCGCACTGAAATTATATATGGGTTTTACGAGAGTTTGGGCTGGACTGAGATAAGATGAAATTTTAATGTTTGGGCTTGAAATTTTGAAGCTGGAGACATGATTAGATTTGACAATTTTAATTGTGTCCAGGTATATCTTGATCCAACCTTGAACCGCAATGTATCAAAATCATATATGCATCAGGGTTTGGGGCAAAGATTGAAGTATTAGTATTGAGTATTGTATCGGACAGTTTGGATATGAATAGGGATACATTTTGAAAAAGCAAGAATACTGAGGAAAGATATGAAAATGATTGGATATGTTAAAAAATGCATATAAATCATATAAATATATTAATAAAACTAAGTATAAAGTTGGTTTAACTATGAATGAAGTATAAATATATGAGAAATGCACATTTTAATAGGTTTTATGAAGAGAAACATTACAATCAACAATATCGGGACTTTGGAAGATGTACATATTATCACTCTATTTCAGTTTTTATAATTATAATTTTCAAATTATATTAGTTTTATAGGAATTTTTTATTTAATATTTTTATATAAATAATCTCTATTTTTAAAATAATAAATATATTTTTACTTTTAACATATAATTTTAAAATAAAACATATAAATCATTTAAGGTAGATAAAATAAATTATTTTTATAATTTTCAGTTTTATTAATTTTTTTGGGAAAATTAAGTCTTAAAATATTTAGTTTAGTTTTTATAATTATAATTTACAATTTTTATTAAACTTTTGGAAAAATTAATTTATTTTAGTATTTTTATATAAACAATAACTCTAATTTTCAAATAATGAACATGATTTCATTTTTATCATATAATTTATATGTAAAATAAAATATATAAATCATTGAGCCTAATTGTGTAGCCCTACTGTGTAGCCTACTCCTATTGTAGGGTTATGAGTTTGGGAACTAGTACTATTGTGTAGCCCTACTGAACAAAAAATGAAGAAACAATAATCACATGACCAACTTTTGGTGGCCTAATTGTTAAGGGGCTTTTTGGTATGGCTGAAGCTTTTATTGAGCCATTTTGAGAAAATTACTAAAAGAAGCTTTATAGGAGGCATTTTTTTAGCTGAATCACAACCTAGTTGGGGGCCAACAGCTTATCCAATTGTGAGAGCTTTGGGGCTGGACATATTAATTCTAGAGGTGTAAATTGGGTTGTGCCGCCCGTAACCTGACACGATGGTTCACAAGTTGTGCTAGGCATGGCATGACTAATAAAATAAACAATTGTTTTCAATTTTATTATACTATTTTATTTAATTATTGTATATATCAAAATTTATATAAAATAAAAATTTTAAGACTTTTTTCAATTTTTTAAATAAATAACTTTAGCCCAAGTCGTGCCATGCTGGCCCAGCACAACCCATTTTACAGCTTTAGTTTATCAATTCCTGCCCATGTCCATCTTTTTGGTAAAAAAATAAATAAAAAAAAAGAAATAGGGGCAATTACTATTTTACCCCACTCTCATAGTAACATGGTATTTCCAAAATGTTCTCAACAGCATAGACTGTTGGTTCCCAACAKCCAAAATTTTTCTCTTCCAAAAGGGGGAATTCGGTCATCACTAAACATTCTTTTTCTTTTTTCTTATTTTTTTTTAACATCACTCTACAAAGATTGAATCTCGGTGATGACATCACCATTTCGAATATCATCACAGGGAGATGTTCCTAATACACAGCAGGAATGTGATGTGGGACGTTGTGGGGTGTGG